CTCACCCCCTTTTCTCTGTTTCTCGTTGCATCAGGTCTCCTCGGATATGTTGACGCAGTGTCATTTCAATTACATGGAGGAAAGCGTACCGGTCGCCTTAGAGGAGCTGGGATCCGAACTTAAGCAGGATTGGAGAGGATATCTTTACGCTTGCACTACGGCCTTATTGAAGGAGGCGCGTGAGAAGTACGTACATTTGAAGTTTATCTTCCCTTTTGTCGTAATTTTGTTTATGATTAATATAATGATGAATCTTCTTTAAAAAAAGTTATGCTTTCATTTACACTTTTTGGCATTTGGTATTTTTTCATATACCATTCATTTTAGACTGTTTGATACAAGTTCTGGTGTTATTTTTCTACCTAGAATTCTTCTATAATTTTCATCCAATTTCAGCGAAAATTATTCATTTAGAAAAAATATTATATACATGTAGCTGGCTATATAATGTATACTTCTTTTACAGAAGTCGAGGATGGGTCACCGTGCACAATCCAGCTGATAGCACAGTGGAAATGGCATACAAGAAGGTCGGAGATGGACATCCGCTCCGATTGTGGCGAGTGTCAACCGAGGTGGAAGCACCACCGAACGAGCTTCTCCATCGTGTTCTGAGAGAAAGGCATATCTGGGATCCTCAGCTTTTAAAGTACAGACTGGTCAATAAACTGGACACCAACGTGGAGGTCTTTCAATACGCCACTGGGAACATGAGTCCTCTTCCTGCTAGGGATTATTGTGTGCTAAGGTGTGTATTCGTGTTTGAGAGGCACGATATTCAATTGCATCGAGAAACCGAACGTGACAAATAGCAAGACTGATTTATAAGAGGTGTAAAATGTGAGGGTCGAGTTGTAAATTATGTAATGTTGCATTGTACAGATCCTGGCGTAACGATCTCCCTAAAGGAGCCTGCGTCATCGTAGAAACATCCGTAGAACATCCGGATGCTCCTGTTATGCCTGGTGGAACACGTGGTATTGTTTTAGCCTCGCGCTATCTTATCGAACCTTGTGGTAGCGGTAAATCACGGATTATGCATCTCTCCAGAGTGGATACAAAGTACGTATTCTTTGGATTTTGGGAATCGATAATCTTTTTATATGCACTGTAAAAAAATTTCAAATCCCTAAAAATATGAAAAATTATGAATTGGCGATTCAATATTTTGATTGATGAATATCAATTGATCAATATCCTTGTAGATTAATAGTTTTAAATACTTTAAATCGCGTTAGTCCCAACTTTAACCATTAAATTTAAATAAAAGATATTGATTTTCTGTTCATATTAACCTTTTTACAATTTTTATATTCATACATTATTTTAAATCATAATCCTTAATACTATTGTGCTTAATTTTTATTTACAGAGGACGCACTCCAGAATGGTACAACAAAAGCTACGGCCACCTCGCTGCCCTTCACCTCAGTAAAATTCGCAGCTCCTTCAAGCATACAACAGATGGTCCTGAGAGTAAAGTCTGAGAGGAAGCAACCGTGCAACGAA